TTCGCGCCTGACACTGGTGGCAAACTTGTCCAATTGCACACGCGCAGATTTACAACCAAAGAATCACCAACGGATTCCAGTTAGAGACAAGAGAGCTATCCATCAAAGACAATTGGCGAACCAAGGTAGCATCGAGTCCGGTGCTGAAATCTCTTCAGAATGCACCGTGGCTTCCAACTGTCAAACTGCTTTCACAAAAGCTCTCAGCACCTTTGTCATATTTTACCCAGAGTGCGTCTTCACCCTTCATAGCAACCTTGCTCAAGGATACACAAGGCGACTTCTCCCGCTGGGGCGGATGTTTTGATCTCGAAGAGGTTCTGGTTGCGACAGGGAGTATTGAGGGAGAAGAACACCTCTGATACCAATGATACCAGGCGTTCACGCTGGCCTTCGGACAACTCACTCGGAATGATGAAGAACAATGTTAGGATGTTGTCTGGCGGTGGAAAAGGTTGAGTATGTTGCCTTCTTCTTCCGTGGCCAACTTGATCCAAGTTGCTGTTGCGTCCAGGAAGACTGGCTCGGGCGCAATGCGAGCTGCGGCTCCCTTGCAGGTCCCTGAATTGACATGATCGCGCCGTCTCCGATTGGCATTACTGATGGCTTGAATATATTCAGGACTTGTCGGTGTGGGCCGGCTGGTCTGAGTCTGCTAAGGAGAACCTTGAATTGCCGCGTCGAAGAAACTGAGGAACCTGCGCAGGGACACATTCTGGGCGCGCTTTCAAAAATCACCGGGGAGGGTATTTCAGAAGTTGTTACTTCCTCTACGAGGTTGTCATTGTCCCAGTTCGCGGTTTTATGACAGTGTGGTCAGCCGGTCCTTGAGGTCGTTGTCTGTTCGGCTCAAGGACTGTCAGCGTAATCCAGCCCCGTACCAGATATTCATACTGAAGCCAACGAACACGGCTCGTACGATGGAGGCAATTCTGCATTCATCGATAAGTTGATGGTCTTTTCATGTGAATCTCTTTCGCTGTTTTGCCGGCTTCCAAGAAAAGCTGCGGCGGAATCTGTTCCGTAGAAGTTCTCTTCACTTGACAGCCTCTTTCGGAAAACCCCGAATAGTGAACCTCGTAGGTCGAATATGGATCGATTCCGATGGCGCCAAATGTGCAAGGGGGAGGTAGAAGACACAAATATGTAAATAGCAGTGATTGGTTTGACGTTGAAACAGTCTATCAGCACCACAAACCAGCAAGTTGGTTGCATGATTCGTACAACGCACTAGTCTTGAAACAAAGGTGGCAATAGGGGAATCGCACGTGCGTGGATCTCTTGGTTTCAAGCATAGGGCAAGCAAGGATCACCCCCCAAAAAATACATGAATAAATCAACGAACAAATAAATAAATGAAAAGAAAAATAACAATAGTCATAAGAATACAGAAGCACATGGTACATGGTTTCATCCCCGAAAGCGAGTTGGCGAGGATCCTGACGCTTCTCTTCTTCAAGAACGGGATCCCTGCCGTCATTGCTGGTGTCCTTGCAGCAGGGGTTGCCTGCATCCTGTGCGTGCTTCGAGTGTTGCCGGTGGGTCCGGCGGCGGAGCAGAACGTGCATTCCGCAGGAAGCACGCTTTGGTGCACATGCCTCGGATGGGGATTTTACATCCTGGTCCTGTTGGGGTGGCGTCCTCGGAGGACCATTTTCCTGGATCGCATCTGCATTCACCAGTCCGATCCTGACTTGATGCAGGAAGGGCTTCTGAGCGTCGGCGCTTTTCTCAGGATGTCTGATAAGATGCTGGTTCTGTGGGATAAAACCTATGTGCACAGGCTTTGGTGCATGCTCGAAGTTGCGGCCTTTCTGAAGAGTCGAGAGCACGGCGACCTGCCCAGCATGACCATTGTGCCAACTCACTTGGGCCCCTTCTGCTTCGTCTTGAACCTTTCTGTGGGCATTGTGTACGTTGCTGCCTGGATCTTTCTGATGCGTGGCATTTATGCATGGACTTTGCTCGTGATTTTGCCGCTATTTATGATACCCACTGGGCATTTTTTGATATCAAACGCTCGGGAATATGTGCGGGACGTGCAAGCCATGCGAGAGCAGCTTGCAACATTCTCACTGGTGGACGCGCGCTGCTCTTGTTGTGATAAAAACCATATTACTCGGAGTGGCAAGCGTATCATATGTGACCGAGTAGCTGCTGAAACCAGACTTAGCTGACCCATTTTCCCTTTCAGCTCATTGGGCTTCCTTTGTTTTTTGTTGGCCAACAAACTGTTTCTTGCTTGCAGGCCGAAATCTAGTCAAGGTTATCGAGCAGTGCATCGTGGAATGGTTCGAAAGCAAGGACGACTTCAATGAAGCAGTCCGCCTCACGGTGCTACCCGCATTTGCGAAACGTTTCGGGCAGAATGAAATTCCTTTGTGGATTTTTCTCATTGCAACCGCCCCAACATGTTGGATACTTTTGGATGTGGTTGCTGGTTATGCTGTTGCCGAGCAAGAACTGGGCGAAGGGAGTTCCTCTCGGTGGTGGCTTCTCCTTTGCTGCGGCATGTGGCTGGGCACTCAATCCGCAGGCTGTTCCTGGGTCCTATTCCTAAGCCGGAAGCTCAGCAAGGATCGCGGACGAGTGCTGGGATTCGGGGTGAACATGCTGATTTTGGCCTCCGTGGTCCCTGTGCTGTGTGGTGGGGTTGCACTTCATCTTTTAACGGCAGAGGAGTATGCAGGCTCATTGTCGCCCTGGCTGGGCATCGCCTCTGCCACTTTTCAGATTTTGATCGGATTTGTGGCCTGGCAAGGCTGCGCGCGCAGATGCTCTTCGGAGTGTAAGCCTTGTCAAAGCATTGCACTGGCTAAACTTAAGTTTAGCGGGTTTCACTGGCCCACTGGCCCAAAGGCCGAAGAGTTGGGGATCTTTTGACTTTCTGATAGCATGACTTGGATTTGCGCAGCTGCTTGGCTGCTCAGTCTCATTCTGGATGCCGCTTTATATTACGATTGTGGTGCTGTAGCTCTACGTGTGAACACCACGATCTCGTTCAAGAGAAGCGACAGGCAAATGCCTTCGCTCGCTCTGAGATGGTAGTGAAAGCCAGAGATAAAGCGACCCAAGCTGGCGGCCTAGGGCCCCCCAGCATTTGGCCATTCATACTGCGTTGAAGGCAAACAAGGCCAAAGACGCAACATGTTGCAAATTCTCCAAAGCAACCCTGCTCCTCTGACAGGCTCAATTTCCAGTGTTTTGAGGGAGAACGGATACAAACTTATGATAGGGTTTTGAGAGAGGCTCATATTTGGCTCCAGGCAGCGCAACAAGAGCACCATTTTACTTTGAACAAAACAGTTTTTGTTGCAGGCTTTGCCCAAATGGGGGGGGGTTATGGCTGGATCAAGGATGCTTGTGTGTTCTGGTCACATGATTCAGCCAAACTCCCAGAACAACACATATAACTGACATGGCAGCTAGTTTCGTTGACCCAGAATATACTACGGCCTCCTGCAGCACTCGCAGTGCACGTGGGCAAAACCAACCCACACGAGTCAAAAACATCATGCAACCTTGCGGAGATAGGCAGCCTCATGCCTACTCGGTTCCTTGAATGTCGCTTACTCAGAACCATCAGGACTTCTGCGGCCTCCAAACAAAACGTACCCTGCCTCCCGCAAAGCAAGCGTTGCTGGTCGCTTGAGGGTTGTTCAACATAGCGGATCTTTGGGATCCCCAAAATGGCATTGTCGGTTGCCGCACTAAACTGCGAGAGGCCCCACATGTTATGTCCAAGGGGTCATTTCACACACACTGCCTTGAGCCATGGTCAAAATTGCTTTGATTCTTCAGAGGACATACAGCAATTCGTGTTTGCGGAAAATCTGCCGAGTTCCCCCATGTCCGTCTCAAATGAACCGGACATTTTGACAGCCTCATTTGATGGCATTCCCTTGAGCTCTGCCATGCGTCACAATGGCGAATGTAGGATTTCTCAGAGGCTCCAGAGTCGCCTCCCTCCTTGCAGCACCATCAGCGGCCTCCCCCTCCCGCCGATCTGGTTTCTTTAGGCCAGGTTCCCAACTTTCGGAGGCATTGAGCATCATCTTTTGCAAACGACACGCGTTTTTTTTTTTTTTTTTTTTTTTTCTTTTTTTTTTCGGGGGTTCTCCTGGGGATGTGGCTGGCGCTGTTGTTCAGTCTGTGATCCGACGCGTGTTTTCCGTGGGGTAAAAGTTGGAAGGTCGCCCACCTACACGGGCTTCGTGGTGATGTGCCTGGGCGCCGTAGTCATGGCCGGGCTGAGCCCGGTGCGGGCGCTCTTCACAGCCGCCTTGGGGGCGGTGCTGGCCATGAAGCTGGCGGAGGAGGAAGGGGGGTTTGGTTGGGGAGAAGGGTTAGGCGTCGAAATGGGTTGGGGAGGGGGGGGTTTGGGGGGTTTGGGGGGTTTGGTTGGTGGGTTTGGTTGGGAAGGGCGGGGTTGGTTGGGGGTTGGTTGGGGGGAAGGGGGTGTGGGGGAAGGGGCGGGAGGCGGCAGGGGGGGGAGGGGAAAGGGGGTCGGTTTTGCAACTGGGCTCCATAGCAAGGGAAGGACCACCCTGCCAATAGCAACGGTTCAACCCAAAGAGAGTTTGGACAGACCCCACGTGAAACCCACCTTCACCAACCCCACCCTAAACAACCGCAAACCTAGACCAACCCTCACCCATGGACCCTAGACAAACCTCAACCGAACCTTAACCCACCAAAAACCCACCCCAAACCGACCCTAAATCAGCAGTAAACAAGCCCTAAATTGTTTAACCAATCCTAAGCCTCAGCGCGAATCCAACCCTAGACCGCCCCGAAACGCTGAGGCAGACCGTGCGATCTCCCGTATGTGGCATGAGCACCACAAGAGCAAGCGGCTCTAGGCAAAATCGTCTCCCGGTAGCACGGAAACGCACAACTGAGCGGACGCTGACCCTCGAGACCCCGTCGAAGGAATGGGACCCGAAACGTTCTCATCGCCCTTTTTTCGGCCTTGAGGCCATCCGTTATCCGCGATGAGGCAGAAAAAACATTCGACTGACAGAACCAACTGCGGGTGGCCCAGGTAAAGGTGGGAGACCTTCGCCTGGCAATGCACATGCGCGTAGGCTCCACCTTCTCATAGGCGTCCAGGGGAGCTCTTGGTTTCAAACTAGTCTAGTTGGGTTTTAGCCGAGAAGAGGCGAACAGACCTCTACTTGAGGCGTGCCCATTGGATTTATGGACAACGGCTTGCCGTGTTTTACGAGTCGGTGAGTGGGGCTCTCGAATCGCTGCCAGGAGAAGGCCTTGTCAGAGGCGCGGCCAGAGGAGTGGTCGCGGTATTGCAAGACACCTGGCTGAAGCCGTGTGATTCTTTCGGGGCTGCCGAAGGGAAGCCAAAGTGAAAACCGACCATTTTGGGGGTCCCCTATATTAAGACACCCAGGTAAACATGTGATCAATCGTTCCTTTTTTGTTTTGCCTGTTTTTTCTTTCAAATGGAACGTTTTTGCTGAAGGGAACCAACCTGCGAGGAACCAATTGCCCTTTCATGGCTTCTGCACTGAGGAAAGTTCCCTACAAGCTGGTGCCATTGATCTGGTGATGCATCTCCGCTAGCGATGGAGCTTCTTTACGTGACGAGGGGAGTGCCTGGAAGCTTCAAAACATGCACCATGGGAAGGGGGGCCTTTCTTGTTTCTGTTGCCAGGATTTATCGTGCAGGTCTGTATGAAGAGAGCTCCGCTACAACTGCCGGATGTGATATCCTGCGGGCTGCGATCCACGTCACAATTTTCCGAATGCCCCTGGCTGTGAAAATCTACGCCTTGCGCATTGGTGGATGCAAGGCTTGCTGGGAGCTAAGCTTGTCACAGAGTGGAGTCCTTGGTAATAGTATCCCAAGACCGCTTGATTGATTTTCTCACGCAGTGACACTTTGGGTTCATTGCAATAAGCACAAACTCGAATTTCAGGGGTCGACCTGGGCGGTATACATCCACAGAGCCGATCGCATACGGCATTTGGCCAAGGGCCCCTCACCTGTTTCACTGACAGAGCATCTGCTCACTCGAGAACTAGATAAGCGCACCAATGTTTTCTGTCATCCACCAGAGACAGTAGCTACGGAGACTTGGAGCCCCCTTTTCGGATGTTTTTCCAATGGGAACACGGAAAACCAGCCCGGTGTTGGGTGTTTCCCGTATTTTTCTGGGGCAACCCAGAAGAGCCCTGCCGCCCCGAAAAATTGACGCCACTCGCTCCACTCGGCTGGGCTGCCATGCTGGCGCCCGCTGGTTCGGCGACTCCTTGGTGTGTCGCGCCGGCGAGGGGCGAGTTAGGCCCGTGGATTGAGTTGCGGGATCTGATGGACCCAGATCTCGCTTTTTGGGTGGTTGAAGCATCACCTTTCGGCTTGCCAACTTTACTCGAGCTTCTCGTTCGGATCACGTTTGGGGACATTTAAGAAACCCTGCCACTCACGTGCTCAGTCTTTTGGGGACATTTAAGAAACCCTGCCACTCACGTGCTCGGTCTTCCGCAGAAAGGTGCGCACGAGGCAATTCGAACAGGGGTATATTCCTACTGCGCCTTGCAGCCCTCATGAAGCTTTACAATGGAACCACCAGGCAGCCCACAGGTTGCAACAAAGCCCCAGATGTGCGGCTTTTTGTGTGTGGGGGTTCTGGCGGGAAGATGTCGCAGGTTGGGAATTGAGCGCAGCGCTTCTTGTGGCAAACATAGCTGGGTAACCATTCGGTGCGCCTGGCGCAGCAAGAAAAGCACACTCGTGCCAAATAATTACTGCTGTGTGGTGCCAGGCTTCATACCATTTGCGGGGCAGTCCGTGTGGGAATATAATACACCTCTTCAATCCGTTTGAGTGGCAGGAATTCCAAGTCATCTGACAATAGACACCCTAAAGATCTGAAGGAACAGTTGCGAGGCCTTTGCATTTAATGTGTGGCAAATTCCAGAGCAAATCTCGCAGGGTGGCATCGGATGGTTTACCCTCAGGCGGCAGACACAGGGCGTCGCCCTCTTTCCGAGAACAGCGGCTGTGCCACTTGGCGGATGCCGAGCGTCATGTTGGAGCAGGGCCTGGGTTTGAAGTATTTTGCATCAAGCGGGCTTGGGGTCTCATTTCTGTAGGCGTGGTTTGTGTTGTTCTGTTTTCGCCGGCGAACTCATTTGTGCACTTTGTGGACGTCGTGTGCGACTATGATTTGGTGGTCAACGCTCAAAAAACATACACTGTGCAAGGCGGGCAACACAAGACGCGCGGCAACCCTGAGTCAGCACCCTTCAAGCCTCATTACTTGTTGCTCGCATGGGATTGTTGCCGAAAGCATGCCAGAACTTGCCTATTCGGAGGAACAAACTGAATCACTGAACCCATCCAAAGTGTCAGGAGCCAGTTCAATCCAGATGAGTGGGGGTCAGATGCTTCATCTATGAATCAGCACCTCTCCACAACTACCTCTACACATGATCCCCGCACTTTGCTCGGGGAAGGGCTGGGCATTCACCCGCGGTTGC